CAGATAGAAGAGTTCGAACACCAGGACGGGACAGCTCCTATAATTCCTGGATCTCTCGCTTTCAAGGTTTGGCATTTTGGCTCACATCCATTCACTCCCTCTCCACTGCTCTTTCCAACAGGTTTTAACCGAGCTCACGCAACAAGTCTCTAGTACGCATCATTCTCTCGGAAGAACTGCCGAGAAGAATGTCCTTGACAGTCTACCACGCTCCGTGAGGGAAGCTTTACTTCAGGTAAGCTTTGTAGTTTTGCTGGCCTACTTAAGTTCTGGATATGTAGCACTCGTCATTCATCAATGAAGTCCTTCGACAGTTTTGGGCGACCTGTCCGATCACTTCAAACGCTCTTCTACAAAAGGTATAAACAAGTTCGCAAAATGGGTTTGCCAGTCTCAGCCTGTGGTCGTTTAGGCAAATCGTCTCAAGGATTGCATGGCTAAAGTCTACAACGAAATACAGGTAAATCTCGTCGAGTTCCTCTTTGCGTAAAAACGAAAAACTTTTGACAGGCTTTGAAAAGCTCGGTGCAATCGGAGCATCGCCACCAAGTCTCGCTCATACTGCAGCCGATGTTTCAGGTACCGGGCCATTAAATCTCACTAGACTCCCAATTTTGTTTCTTACCTATGCTTTTCAGACGCTCGATGCAGCTCTTGTGCACTACGAAGCTGAGATAGAGAAGCGGAGTGCCAAGAAACTTGGAAATGGTGGACCTTCCGAGCACGTCAATGGAATGTTGGCCGTCAAGTGAAGGTATGAGCTCCAATTTTGTAGAGAAGTTAAGTTACACGGCCGTGAGAATCGAAGTAAGTAAATCACTCGCCGCTTGTCATTCACTGGGTGAAACATCTGGAAACAAATCCTTGGAAGTCTTACAAGTTAGTTTTGTTACAAGACTGGCTAATCTCTTGACTAGAAACTATTCCGGACCATTTTGCAACATACCCGTGTGTGAGCACTGCTTGTTTGGAGTCACCGAGGAGGAGGCCGTGGTAGTCCTGGCGGTACGCTCGGCGGGAAGCCTGTTGCTGGCCGTGGCGCTGGTCCTACCTGAGGCTTTGGCTTGAAATACAACTGAAGCTGGCAAAAAAACGTTTCACACTTGTGAGAACGGGAAGCAAAAACTGAAGGACGAAAACTCACCGTGAACTGCTTGGAGTCTTGATCCCAATGAAAGAAAAACTTGTCATTGGCCGACTTATCAATCTCCGTGCTCGGAATCTATGAACAGAAGAAGCGAAAGTAAGTTTCGTAACGAAACGGTGTGGATTCATTACCTTGAAGGCGATAATCTCGTAAGGCTCGGCCGCGAAGAGGAGATACTGCCACTCCTTTTCGTTCGGTTCCAGCTTCTGCTCAAACGAGGACATCAAGCGGTACCGTGGCTTGGCATTGTCCTCGATCTCC